GCTCTCCAAAGCTTGAGGTGCTCTAACAGCCTATTACTGCCTATTACAGGGAAAACCAGCTTGCACCATCAATGTTTGACATTTACAGAAATGATCAGAAGGGACAGAGAGTTTCATCTACACTGATGACCATGCCATCACCACTCAAACAAAGAACTTTGAAATGGTTGAACAGAAGCTCTCTGAAGCTTGAGGTGTTCTTACTGCCTATTACAGGGAAAACCAGCTTGCTCCATCAATGTTTAACATTTACAGAAATGATCAGCCACTGCCAAATGGGACAGAGAGTTTCATCTATGCTGACGATCGTGCCATCACCACCCAAGGAGGGAGCTTTGAAATGGTTGAACAGGAGGTCTCCAAAGCTTGAGGTGCTCTTACTGCCTATTACAGGGGAAACCAGCTTGCTCCATCGATGTTTAACATCTACACAAATAACAGAGAGTTTCCCTATGCTGACGATCATGCCATCACCGCTTAAGCAGAGAGCTTTGAAATGGTTGAACAGAAGCTCTCCAAAGCTTGTGGTGCTCTAACTGCCTATTACAGGGAAAATAGGCTTGCACCATCAATGTTTAACATTGACACAAATGACCAGTCATTGCCAGAAGGGACAGAGAGTTTCATCTATGCTAACAATCATGCCATCACCACCCAAGGAGGGAGCTTTGAAATGGTTGAACAGAAGCTCTCCGAAGCTTTGGGTGGCCTTACTGCCTATTATAGTTTGTACCATCAATGTTTCTCATCTACACAAATGACCAGCCAAAGCCAGAGGGGACAGAGAGTTTAATCTATACTGACAATCATGCCATCACCACACAAGGAGGGAGCTTTGAAATGGTTGAACAGGAGCTCTCTGAAGCTTTAGGTGCTCTGACTGCCTACTTCAGGGAAAACCAGCTTGCTCCATCAATTGTTTAACATCTACACAAATAACAGAGAGTTTCCCCTACGCTGATGATCATGCCATCACCGCTCAAGCAGGGAGCTTTGAAAGCTGTTCTCATCCAAACTCACAGTGGAGACTTTAATATTGATATGTTACTTATGTAATATGTATATTATGTAATATGTAATATTCACATCAGGATCCCCTGATCTCCTATTGGTATATACTGAGATATACTCATGATAGATATCAGCAACAAGAATCATGGCAAGAGAGAGTGCACATGCTTGCGACTTCTTTTTATACCCATTGCTTCTCGTCATCAAACAGGGACAACAGGAAGTGATATAATCCTCGTCATGCCTGTCACATGGTCATGATTCAGCTTCTTTATCCTGTCCCTCCAGTTCCACATCACCATCTACTTAACCCTTCAGTAGATGTGTGTGACCACATATCCATTAGAACTGTATTTTTCCAACCCGTAATGCACAATGGGGTTACAGTCAATGCATTTCTATCTAACAGTGCATTTATCTACCTAACAGAAATTCCCTTTGCTTTCTAGGGAAGCATGCCATGCAATTGTCCTACTAAGGTGTCCTTTCTAGGAATTTGCCAAGTCTTCCAATGCTACTCTAGAGTAACTTCAAGTAGAAGCATACCATAGAATCGCCCGGAGGACCTAAAAATGTCTAGAGATAACATATTTGGTCAGATGATGGTAGGGAACAAGATTGTATGAAACCTGCAAGTTCTGATGCAACCTCTTTTGTGTCTCCCTTCTCAGGTAACAGATGGTGGGACCATCAAGCAGAAGATCTTCACCTTCGACGCCATGTTCTCCACCAACCAGTCGCACATGGAGAATTACCGGAAACGGGAAGACCTGGTCTACCAGTCCACTGTACGGTGAGTCCCACCATGACTTTGGACCAAGGGTATAACACGTTGTTGTTGTGGGCCTTCAAGTCATCTCTGACTTATGGTGACCCTGTCATGGGTTGACCAAAATTGACCAATGGGTTTCTTAGACTGAGCAAGGCATCAATCCCTGCTCTCCAGAGTTGTAAGCTGCCTCAACTCGTTGCTTGCGATATGTCAGGGACTGATTGCAGGTTTCTCTAGCTCTTCTGCTTATTTGCATGCATCCAATCGCTAATTGAATTGCCGCCGGGCGGACGCCTTGCATTGCATTGACTCTTGACCCTTGCGTTAGATACCTGCCAACTGGGGCTAACATTTCATGGATTTGATGTAGTCAGCTCCAGTCTATAAAAGCTCTGGTTGTAATACATTCGTTAGTCGTTCAAGGCTCTTTCCTGTTTAGCAATAGCTTGGTTTGTTCTGATTGGCTGGAATCAGTCTTGCATCCATACTGGAAGCATTACCCTTGCTCTCCATAGGCTCAATTTCTCCTTAGCAACTGGAACAAGGATACTATATTGATTGGCTCTATTGCATTGGTTTGTCATGATAGGATTCCTGATTGACTGGAATCAGTCTTACCTCCTACCAGTATCATTACCCTTGCTCTCAATAGGCTTTATTTTTCCTTAGCGATTGGAGCACGGAGACTATATTGATTGGCAATAGTGTACTGGGATGACATAATAGGATCCCAACCTTAATTGACTTGAATCAGTCTGGCTTCCTTAGTGGAAGCATTACCCTTGCTCTCAATAGGCTTCATTTCTCCTTAGTGAAGGAGCAAGGARACTATATTGATTGGCARTAGTGTACTACTATTCCATAATAGGATCCCTGATGGGCTGGAATCTGTCTGGCATCCTTACTGGAAGCATTACCCTTGCTCTCAATAGGCTTCATTTCTCCTTAGTGAAGGAGCAAGGAGACTATATTGATTGGCAACAGTGTACTASKATTCCATAATAGRATCCCTGATGGGCTGGAATCTGTCTGGCATCCTTACTGGAAKCATTACCCTTGCTCTCAATAGGCTTCATTTCTCCTTAGTGAAGGAGCAAGGAGACTATATTGATTGGCAATGTTGTACTGGGATGTCATAATAGGATCTGATCCCTGATTGGCTAGAATCAGTCGGGCATCCTTACTGGAAGCATTACTCTTGCTCTCAAAAGGCTTCATATCGCCTTAGCAACAGGAGCAAGGAGACTATATTGATTGGCAATATTGTCCTGGGATGTCATAATAGGATCGCATCCTTGATTGGCTAAAATCAGTCTGGCATTACCCTTGCTCTTGATTGGCTTCATTTCTCCTTAGTGACTGGAGGAAGGAGACTATATTGTGTTCTTACCAGTAACATTACCCTTGCTCTCTATAGGCTTCATTTTGCCTTAGCAACTGGAGCAAGGAGATTATATTGATTGGCAATATTGTACTGGGATACATAATAGGATAATAGGATCTCATCCCTGATTGGCTAGAATCAGTCTTGCATCCTTACTGGAAGCATTACCCTTGCTCTCGATAGGCTTTATTTCTCTTTAGAGACTGTAGCAAGGAGACTATATTGATTGTGTTCTTACCAGTGGCATTTCCCTTGCTCTCGATAGGCTTCATTTCTCCTTCGCAACTGGAGCAAGGAGACTATATTGATTGGCAATATTGTACTGGGATTCATAGTAGGATCTCAACCCTGATTGGCTAGAATCAGTCCTGAATCCTTACTGGAAGCATTACCCTTGCTCTCGATAGGCTTCATTGCTCCTTAGCGACTGGAAAAAGAAGACTATATTGATTGGCAATGTTGTACTAGGATGTCATGATAGGATCTCATCCCTGATTGGCTAGAATCAGTCTTGAATCCTTACTGGAAGCATTACCCTTGATCTCAATAGGCTTCATTGCTCCTTAGCGACTGGAAAAAGAAGACTATATTGATTGGCAATGTTGTACTGGGATGTCATAATAGGATCTCATCCCTGATTGGCTACAATCAGTCTTGCATCCTTACTGGAAGCATTACCCTTGCTCTCAATGGCTTCATTGCTCCTTAGCGACTGGAAAAAGAAGACTATATTGATTGGCAATGTTGTACTGGATGTCATGATAGGATCTCAACCCTGATTGGCTACAATCAGTCTTGCATCCTTACTGGAAGCATTACCCTTGCTCTCGATAGGCTTCATTGCTCCTTAGCGACTGGAAAAAGAAGACTATATTGATTGGCAATGTTGTACTGGATGTCATGATAGGATCTCATCCCTGATTGGCTACAATCAGTCTTGCATCCTTACTGGAAGCATTACACTTGCTCTCGATAGGCTTCATTGCTCCTTAGCGACTGGAAAAAGAAGACTATATTGATTGGCAATGTTGTACTGGGATGTCATGATAGGATCTCAACCCTGATTGGCTAGAATCAGTCTTGAATCCTTACTGGAAGCATTACCCTTGCTCTCGATAGGCTTCATTGCTCCTTAGCGACTGAGAAAGGAGACTATATTGATTGTACTGGGAGGCCGTAACAGGATTTCTGATTGGCTAGAATCCATCTTGTGTCCTCTCCGGAAGCATTACCTTTGTTCTCGATAGGCTCCACAAGTTCGAGAGCCTGATTCTAGCCAATCGAGGACAATAACCGTATCAGGTTTTCCTACCAAGTTGGAACGCCACAGCCATTTCATTTTGGGCACGCTTCCAATCCGTCGAAAGGGGGAGAACAAGCACATTTCCATTATCCAGAGGGAAAGGAAAGCTTTTGAAATCAAAATTAAGAGCGTCGGAAAAAAAGAGACGGAGAGCGCGTTGGAAAAATCTACCAGGCGGGGTAGAACCCGTGAGCCTCACGAACACGAAACGTGCCACAAAGGCCGGGCCGCGTCTTGTGCCGAAAGCGTCTCCCTCTGCTTCTCGATTGGATGGGAAGGCTTCGGGGAGACAGAAATCCACATTTACATATAAATGAAGATATTTACAAATTAATGCATTCCGAGACACAGGAAGTCCCGGCTCTGCAGCTGTCAACGCAGCGGCCCACCTTGCCGTTTTGGGACAGGGAGGAGAAGGGGGCCCAGCAAGGAGGGAGAGTCAGTGTGGGATCCAATGATGCTCACGGCGGATGCTGCATCTAGAGCGCCAGACTGAGGATGGAACGGTTCTGGGTTCGAGAAGGAAGCAC